TACCTGTTCTGTTTGATGGATCTGTGCATAGATTGATAGATGTTTATATTTGTGTTAATTCAGTGATAAGAGTTTTTACTGTCAATTGCTGTTGATGAGGAAGTTCAGAACTCCTTGGGGGTTGAGCTACACGTATTTTGGAGAATCCTATTATGTAGCAGCTTAAATCAGTAAGCTAAGTTGTAGATGGTTGCGTAAAAAACATACCAATTGTGGATTATCATTTCCCTGGCATGGAGAATCATTGTTTCGTTGTCGGTCAGGAGTTTCCTGATGTAAAGGCATTCCGCAGTGCAATTAAAGAAGCTGCAATTGCACAACACTTTGAGCTTCGCATTGTTAAAAGCGATCTGATCCGGTATATTGCAAAATGTGCAGCAGAAGGTTGTCCATGGCATATACGAGCCGTGAAGCTTCCTAATGCCCCAACTTTCACTATAAGAAGCCTTGAAGGAACACATACCTGTGGGAAAAATGCTCATAATGGGCATCATCAGGCTTCTGTGGACTGGATTGTTAATTTCATAGAGGAACGGCTGCGTGATAACATAAACTACAAGCCAAAAGATATTTTGCATGACATATATAAACAATATGGGATAACTATACCATACAAGCAGGCATGGCGAGCCAAGGAACGGGGGCTTCAAGCTATATATGGCTCTTCCGAAGAAGGATACTGCCTCCTCCCTGCATACTGTGAACAAATTAAAAAGACCAACCCCGGAAGCATTGCTGAGGTGTTTACTGCAGCTGCTGATAATCGGTTTCAGCGCCTCTTTGTTTCCTTTTATGCTTCTATATATGGGTTTCTAAACGGATGCTTGCCAATTGTTAGTATTGGTGGAATTCAGCTTAAAAGCAAATACCTTGGTACATTACTTTCAGCCACTTCTTTTGATGCTGATGGTGGATTGTTTCCTCTTGCCTTTGGTGTTGTTGACGTTGAAAATGATGAAAGCTGGATGTGGTTCTTGTCAGAGTTGCACAAGGCACTTGAAATGAATACAGAGATGATACCACGGCTTACATTTTTATCGAATGGACAAAAGTGTCTCATGGATGCTGTAAAAAGGAAATTCCCTTACTCTTTTCATGCAGTTTGTATGAGGCACTTGAGTGATTGCATTGGTAAAGAGTTCAAGAATCCAAGGCTTATCCAACTCCTATGGAAAGCTGCGTATGCCACTTCTACAATTAAGTTCAAAGAAAACATAGCTGAAATTGAGGAAGTTTCTTCAGAAGCAGCTAATTGGCTTCGACAATATCCATCTTCTCATTGGGCATTGATATATTTTGAAGGAACACGATATGGTCACCTCTGTTCAAATATTGACGAGTTTAACCAATGGATTCTTGAAGCACAGGAGTTGCCCATAATTCAGGTGATTGAGCGGATACAGATTAAATTAATGACAGTATTTGAGGAAAGGCGTGCAAAGTGTAAGT